CAGAATAGGTCCAAATAGAAACCTCTAAGCGATGCGTATATTACTGCAATTCCCGATGTATAATACACCTTCATCCATAATACGCACCCCTCAAATTCTGCCGAAAGTTTGCGAAAATGCTTCTACTCACGTATAATACGCACATCCCTGTTTGGTAATCAAACCCTATAGTTTGTACATCCCAAGTTTCATTACGGCCATCGTTTCTTACTTTTATTAAAAAATGTTTTTAATCATATAATAATATTATTCTAATCATATTAATTTAATTACTACACTGGCAACAAGATTGCAGTATCCGTCTATATATCTCAAATGAGGTATTATCATTACTTGCATTGTTCACATTATTAGGACACTTATCTTCATGTTGTTCTCAAGGACACATGGCCCAATGGATAAAGACATTGGTTAGATCTAGTGATTAGAGCCAAAAAGTTGTGAGTTCAATACCAGGCCACAGCAGTGATGAATAAAAGTAAAACATGGAGAATTAAGTTAAAGGGAAATAAAACCCAGAAGAGGCAAGGTACGTGGAACTAGAACAATGGACGAAATAAAGGGTTCCATTCGAAATTCCAATCACCTAAAGAAGACCGGCGCGTACAACGGCCGAAACATTGTGAATATGGCAATGAATATGAGTTTAACTGTTTGAATAATGTAAATAATACAAGATGGCAATAATATACATTTGAAATGGTTAGCTACAACCGTAAGTTCTATGCTAACTTACGCATTTCTCGCATGTAGAAGGCTCTCTAAAGGCTACATGCTTCTTACCTAATTTTGGACTTCAAAAATGTATATTCAATGTCAATCATTAACTACTGCCTACTCGATTCCCATCATTTTATTATCGATCCCTAATAATATTTCTCTTTTTTCGTATTCTTTCATTCTCAGTAACACCTAGTGTTTTAGTGTAAGTAAACGATTAAGAAAATACCTCAGTGTATGGATCAGTTATAACAAATTTAGTATACATAAAATAAGTAGAACAAGAGTAACTGTGTCCAATATCTCGAATTGCTATATTACCAAATCTTTAAATTAAAAAAAAAGTGTTATTTTCTTGAATATCTGCGCCAAGTTACGGCTTTCATAAAAATGTTGTGCCTGGCCTCCTAGTCATTCAGAGAAATCTAAACTGCCATCTTTATAAACTCACCGATTCTCAGATCGAAGATTAAAAATTGCTTTCAGTGAACGACGAATGCTTTAATTCTAAGTGAGCACCGTAGTAACTCGAACCTCGTGTACAGGCCTTACAAAATTACAAAAAGGGAACTTTACCACATAACAGAAAGTACAATACTTGCGGACTTTCAAGAGTCGCAACAATTAAAACGGACAGCATTTGTAGCTTGAAGACCAAAAAATGATATACGATGCTTCTTCAAAGAAAAGTTTAGGAAGCGAACTTCCAAAAATACTGAGAAGAGCAATAACCTGAAAAAACGTGTTTTAATAGAAAGATATAATAAATTTAACAAGAGAGTAGAATGCACGGCAAATTAATATTTCCTTATAAGAATACGTCTAATATTGCTATTACCATAAACCATGAGCCATATTGGAAGAACAATTCACTGGATTGATTTCAACAATTACATATTCGTGTCTACATGCTTTAAATACCAAACATATTTAGAGAAGTATTTAGAGAAATACCAAATATTTCCATATTTGAAGAATTATTTAGTGAAATACCAAATATTTTTGGTATTGAAAACAAATAAAAAAAAACCAGTAAAATGGAAAAATATTAAAAACGATTATTTTTTAATTCCTTAAATGATCATGTTCCCTGTGTCTACATTAAACGTTTCCTAAAAATAATAAACCCCTAAATCTGCATAATGAATTAACAGTAATTTGTAGGTATTGTATAATGCTTACTTTATATATAGTTAATAGAATTTTTTTTTTTTAAATTCATGTATCACAGTTATATATGCATTATTTTATTAATACATACTGGTACATATAATATTTATTTAATTACATTGTTATGTTTCATTGCTCATCCAACATAATAAGTATTGGATTTTAGGTTCAAAAGATATATAAAAATGATTTTATCATACTAGAAGCCTCTTTGAAATAGTTCTCAAGTATATACAAAAAGTAAAATTGTGACACTATTTAGCGGTTGCGTGAAAATTAAAAGCGAGAAATAATTGAGGCGAGAAGAAGCTATCACGGAAAACATACTGAGCGATGTTAGTTTTTTAAGAAAGAAAAGTGGTAAAGATTTTATTTTCATTTGCGAAGAAAAAGTAATTTTTTTTCTCGCAGAAGATGCGAAATTCTTAAGATCTCTGATCTGTCGGAATTAATTTATGCTGTGACGCGGCGAATAAAAAATAGCAATCTGCCCATGGCAATAATGAAAATTTCAAATTGGTCAATTGGCTTACAAAGCAGAATGCTAAAAGATAATCAGACTTAGGTCAAGCACCGACCGAGAAAGGCATCAGCTGAGACCACCCCAAAGAAAAAGGAAGGGAAAAGAATAAACCATTAACTATCTTTCGGAGATATCATTTGGTTTTGGGAAGA